AGATCTTGTGTGGGTAGTGGTTCCTCTGAGAAGTTGATATTCTTTGGCTCATTTTGTAATGGAATAGCTTTAGTTCAAAGAGAATAAGCTGCTCCTTTCAGGCCACAGAGTCCCAGAGTTTGGATTTGAAGTCAAGCTTGTGTGACTCTTATTACTATTACTATTTACTTTGCTTAGACTGTGTAAAAACTGTGGTTTATGTTGAATATCTGGGGGTTTTTGTTGTTGTTTGTTTTTGTGTTGAAGTTTTGAGTTTTGATATCTGATAGGTAAATGGTGCTTATGAGACCATCCCATAGTTAAATCCCATAGTTGGAGCTTCTAATGAGTTTTCCTAATTGATGACATTTTATCGGTATTGTTAATTCCCCTGCTACAGGGATTGTGCATTTCACATTTAACTCCACTGGGAGAGAGAACCGGATACTAACTCCTATTTTCCATGGGTTTTAGCCTCTCTTCCCCTTTCCTCTGCTGATTTTTCTTGGTATCCTTTCCTCTTACTAAATTTTATCGTAAGTCTGACTATAATGTGTTGAGTCCTCTATATTCTTTGAGATCTCACCAAATCTGAGGTCTATAACATAAGTACACATCAACATTTTCTCACCCTGGAAGAATGAGAATAGAAATGGAATTGAGTTATATAATGTTTCAGATTTAGTTGGAAGATCTAATAACATTTTGATAATGTATAAGAAAGAATTCTTAGTTAGATGTGTGTTTCTGTGTTTTTTTTTTGACTTTCTTCTTTGATGACATTTAAACAGGGAATAAATGCCATGAAGTGATATGCTATAGGGACTGAGATAATTCTATATCTTCTAAATATAGAGTTCTTCAGGATAGAAGTTGCTTCCAGGAAATAGCATTCCTGGCTTATTTGTATAGTAATAACGGGGTCTTCTAGAGGTCTCAGAAGAAGACAGATTAGTCATTGGTAAGGTTCAGAATTGTACAGGTAGATTGTTTTTGGTGGTGTCCTTCCATGACTGCCTCAATTTGGCCTATGAAGGAAGAGCTGGCCTGCATATTAAAAGTGGGTGAAAGATGTTAGGTATTAAATGAGATAGTTTGGAATGATCATTGTTTAAATTGGATGGTGGTGTGGAAAATTTTCTGACTGCTGATGAGTGGCTCTTGATTTGTGATTGAATTGACTGATACTCCTTCTTGTGTGACTTGTTTTTCTCCTTAAGAGATTCAGAGCTTGTGGTAGGGCTGAGGAAACTGCCTAGTTCACCCACAGCTGGTGGTTTTGTTGTTGAACAGTTTAGAAAGAGTTTGAGATGTCAGCAAGAAAATGACTAAAGTGAAAGAATATGGAAGTTAGCAACCCAGGTTTGAAAGCTCACAAAAAGGATGCCAAGGGAAAAGAGCTCTCCTAAATGATCAGGTTTAGCAACAGGAAGGGAGCTGAGGAACTGGGTAGATTGGTAGTTAGCATCTACCCAGGGATGAGGGGAGTGCAAGGAGGACCTTGCCTTAAAGAGGACAGTTCTACATGAGGATGGAACTGTGGGATTGATAACTAAAGGATTTAGTTATTGATAATTATTGGATTCAGGGACCTTTGAGGATAAGGTGGTTTAGCAAAAGTTGACAAACAGAGGCTCTGGAATCAGACTGTGTCCAGCATCTTTCCTTCACATACAGAGTGTATTATCTTGGACTGATTTTCAAGTGTAGCAAATCTTGGTTGCCTGCCACCAAAATGTGCAACATCATGGAAGCCTGACTACAGAATGTAGACCTGTAGACAGTTCTGCACCATCTTTTAGCTTTCACTGTTGTTGAATGTGAGTTTGAGGTTGGTTGTGAATACCTTCCCAACTAAATTGTCAGTTTCTTTGGTATTTACACTGTATCTAGGAGCCAGGTATGTGACACAGGGTAGTTACAATTGTGCTCCTTTTAAGTTATTTGTTGCCAAAAGAGACAAGAAGGAAACAACAAAGTTTACTTTTTTGTTGTTGTCATCAAATGTGGAATCGTTGTTGTTGCCCATTAATGAGGTTGATTTCTAGAATATTGGTAAAGCTTTTAGAAAAAGGGCAAATATTTGGTAAACCACAATCACTAGAGTTTTCTGATCTCAGCGTAGAATTTTCCATGCAAACAAGTGCACAGTTCTCAGTTTCCTGTTTGATTTGGGTGGACAAAGGAGTGACTCATGTCTTCCAGGCTGCCTTGAACTTGGTGAACTGAGCAGATGCAAACCCGTTGCTCTGAAAATGAACCTTGTTTTCAAGGAATGGTTATTTGTTTAAAAAAGAATTTTTGTTATAATGTCAAACTGACTTATTATTTATATTGAAAAAAGTTTTTTTTTCCCCTCACGTAATATATCCTGATTATGGTTCCCTTCTCTCTACTCCTCTCAGTTCCTCCTCAACTCCCCTCCCATCTGGATCTACCCCCTTTTTGTCTCTCATTAGAAAAGAAATAGGCTTCTAAGGGATGATAATAAAATAAAATATAGTAAGATAAAACAAAAACTAAAACATTGGAATAGGGTTAAAAACAAACAAACAAACAAACAAACAAACAAACAAACAAGGTAAAGAACCCAAGAGAAGGTACAAGAATTAGAGACCCATTTGTTTGCACACTCAACAACTCATAAAAACACTAAACTGGAAGCCGTAACATATCCATAAAGGACTTGGGACAGACCTGTGCAGGCCTTGTGCATGCTGTCTCAGTCTCCATGAATTCATAAGATCATTGCTCATGCTGATTTAAAGGGTTTTGTTTTCCTGATGTTCTACATCTCGTCCCGTTCTTATGCTCCTTCTGCCTCCTCTTCTGCAGAGTTCTGGAGCCCTGAGGGGTGGGATTTGATAGAGACATCCCATTTAGGGTTAAGTGTTCCAAGTCTCTAACCAGCATTATATCTGACTGTGGTCTCTGTATTTGTTCTCATCTGCTGCAGAAAGAAGCTTGTTTGATGATTGCTGAGTGAGGCACTGGTCTATGAGTATAGCAGAATGTCATTAGGAGTCATTTTATTGCTACATTTCTTCTTATTTATTATTATTATTATTTAGAACAGTAGTATTTGGTTTTACTCTAGGTCCCTGGGCTATCCAGTCTCAGGTTCTTGGTCAACCAAGCAGTATCAGATATGGATTACATCTTAAAGAGTGGGCCTTAAGACATATCAGAAATTGGTTGTTCCCACAAGCCTTGTGTCACTATTGCTCTAGTTTATCTTGCAGGCCAGACTCTATTGTAGATCAAAGGATTTGTGGTTAGATTGGTGTTTATGTTTCTCTTTTGTTAGCATGCAGTGCCGTCCTATACCAAACAAAGATGGTAGCAGGTAGGGGTGAAGGCTCTATGTAGGCACCAGCTCAACTTCTCCATGTTCAATGGGTTGTGTAGGTGTTGTCTTCAGCAATGGGGTATTCTTGTCAGTTTGTGGAGAGCAACCTGGAGTCTTGGCAACAGCCTAGGTTGTTTGGTGGTTCCCATGGGACCCCTTTGGCCAACAACTCAATTAGATTAACCTAATCCCAGTACTGGAAGCTTCATTTGGTAACAAGAGATGGCCAGTTGGATTCCTGTCCCCCCCCCCAACCCCCCCATTACTTGATGATTTCATTTAGATTACCTTCAACATGTTTATATTTTAGGAAGCTTCTAATGTATTATGTTTCCATAATATCCCTCAAATGGCCTTTAGGCATAGTTGTCTCTCCCTGTATTTCATCCTTTGTCCCTCTCTCTCCTCCCCCTCCCCATTTGATTCTCCTGTTCCAGCCTCCCCACCCCCATCTGTAACTATTCTTTCCCCTTTCCTAAGGAGATCTTCCTGTCCCCACTACTTCCTTACTCTATACCCAATCTTTGTAGTTCTGTGAATTGTAGCTTGATTATCATTAAATTAAGGGCGGATGATGCTTAGTTTTGAGCCACTGATCATGGTTAATGAAATTGAGGTTGAAAAATGCTGCTGTTGAGGCCAGAACTCTGTAAGTGCTTCTAGCCTGCCTATTTGTCAATGCCTCCAGGTACATAGATAGTGTTCATTGCTCCTCTGAATCACAGCATTATTCTAGCCTGTTGGATTCATTATTTTTTGGACCAATGACATTTTAGAGTTATTTGTTATTTCTAGGTGTAGGGAAATAATTGTCAGGAGGGATATCTCTTGTGAAACATTATGAATACTTAATTTCTGTACTTGTGACTTCCTTACAAAGTTTTGAGTGAAGTAACATTGTTTTAATTGTATAAAACCAATTATTCTCATTTTTACTTTCAATATTTAATTATTCTCATATTAAATATGAATTGTCCATCATGATTTAATGTAAACTTCAAATGTAAAAATTACCCACCCCACCCTTTTGGTAGAAATCTAGGTTTAAAGATACTTGCCTTGACTAAAGAAATGTCCTGAATAAGTTTATTTCCAAGTGTGTACTGCAGTAGTTCCTAACAGTATGAGAGAACTGTCTAGACTTATAATACACTGCTATGACTGGAAATAACTGTGACCCCGTCACAGGGAATCTTTGAAAGGAGCTGTTAAACATAGTGTAATCAACATGGTGCTTCCGTCATCATTGCTCATTTGATTGTTACTGATTTATTATTTTATCATAATAATTTTCATGTGCTGCCAGAAATTGAAACACTGCACAATTGCTTCTAAGTGTTTTCTAATAATCTGACACATTTTAAATCACTGACTTTGCTTCAGTTGAACAATGCAGTAGGTAGATTTTTACTAAAATAACACGTTTTTCTCAGTACTGCCTTCTAATTTTGTGACAATTAGAAAGATATAGTGTGAAAGATAGGTAATAATTTATCCCCAGTTAATTTGACTATTAAACATGCAGAAATGAAGCCTGCATTCTAGACTGATTGTGAATGAAATTGGGTGGTGATGGCTTTTGTCTCAGTGACAGTAGAGTGTCTTGTTTTGCATGGTACACACCCAACCTTGACAAGAATTTAATCTTAATATTCCATGTGGTTAATTCTAGACTCTAACACGTGACTTGGAGAACAGGGAAAAACAACAGTTGCAGATGTTGGATCAACTTAAGGAGATCCAGAATCACTTTGAGACCTGTGAGGCTGATCGTAAGCACAATGACCTCCAGATCTCAGAGCTGACTCGCCATGCAGAGGATGCGACCAAGCAGGCAGAACACTACCTTAGTGAGTTCCAGAGGTCGGAGGCCCTGCGAGAGGAGGCAGAGAAGAGGCGAGAAGACCTGAAAACGAAGGCCCAGGACTCCATCCGCCAGTGGAAGGTGAAGCATAAGAAGCTGGAGCGGGCATTGGAGAAACAAGCTGAAACCCTTGACCAGCTGACAGAAAAGAACAATCAGGTATAAGAGCCAGATTCCTAACCCTTTGTTCATCCATCCTTTGAATAAACACCCGAGGACCATGCTGTGTCTACAGCTATTGATACATCTCGGACAAAAATATTTGGTGCCTTTTCAGAATTGAGAAGGAATCTTCTACCTTCCATCTCAGTTTAGCTTGTGAATTCCCTAATTTGAATTATTTTTCAATATTCTAACTTTCCAGAGGAAAAGTCACTTAGTCTCCCTTAGCATTATGGCTCTCCCCCTACAGCATATGTTTTCCAGTCTCATTTGTTTGAGTATTTTGACTTAAGGCCAGGGTAGAAAGGAGAGGGTTAAGACTGTAGTAGTGACTAATGAGTTATTCTGGACATTGAGAGTGTCTTTGGCAGAGCAGTGCCAGCAGATCACAAGGCTCCGTTTTTATGCTCTCCTAACAGCAACAGAAATCCTTGTGCTAATCTTGGTATGTATCCACATTATCTTGTCTCTTGCACAATCAGTTACTTTAAATAGATTTAATGATCCTGTGTTGATTTTCAACTGTTTCTTTGGTTCAAACTAAACACAGATGTTAAAAAGAATAAAACGCAAAGTCATGATTGATGTTTGTCCTTGTTTGATCTAGGATTATCATATATACTTTGTTGTTTGTCAAGAACTTAAAATAGTCCGGAATAACCATTTGGTTAAGTGAACTCTCTTTGGAAATAATAACAATAACAGCAAAAAAGGAAAATTCAGGACAGTTATATTTATAGGATCCATTGACATTACTTATAATGGCAGATGCTTATTTTGGGTCAAATGTCATGACCATGATGCTTTACCGTTTAAATATGCATTTTCTCAGATTCAAGATCAGGGAAGCCTGCTCATTGTGGAGTGCTTTTTGTTTTAGCTCATCTGAAACACAGTGAGTGATGGGTTGCCAGGAGGTAAGGCAGCTTTTGGACTAATCTAAATTGATTGGATCCTAGAAAATTCCTTTACCTTGATTATCTTGTTGTTGGTCTGGCCTGGCAACTGGTTTTGAGACCATGCCTGTAAGGGAAGACAGCTGTTGATTGACTGGGAGCTATCTGTGGATCTTGCTTCATTAGAGGTAATTTAGAAGGGTCCATGTCACCAGGCAGTATCCCAATTTATGGTGCTGAGCACTTATTAGATTGAGTTTTCAGAATATTAAAATTATTAAAAAAATTTCCCAGAATCTTCCTGATAAAATTATTTTTTTTTCATTTATCATTACTGATGATAAGCAGAGTAGTTTTAAAATGATTGCTGCAGTTAGGGTAGGATTACAGTTATCACAGCAGGCATTGTAATTTATCCTTTAAAAACCTTAAAAATTAATGTGGCATGTCGCAGTTCGAGCAATGGTTAATCAAAGGAGAAAGGATTAGAAATGTTTCACAGAGGCTGCAAGTGTCCAGTAAATCTGTGATGTACAAATATGTGGTGAATAATTTTGGGAAATTATACAAGTATCCAGTAGCTAGTACATACTTGCTGTACAAGTATGAAAACCTGCAATTGGGTCTTAAAAGCCTATCTAAAAGCTGGGTACAGTGGTACACATCTGTGGTCCCAGGACTGAGAACAAGAGTCAGGTGCATCTGAGGGGCTTCCTGACAGGTGGTTAGTCAAAATATCAAGCTTTAGGTTCAATGAGAAACCTGCTTTAAATAATCAGGTGGAGAGTAAATAGAGGACGACATCCTAATGTTGGGCTGGGGTCATAGGTCTGTGGTACAGTACACACTTGTCATATTCAGTGCCCTGGGTTCAATTCCCAGTAAAACACACACACACACACACACACACACACACACACACACACACACACACACACAGAGAGAGAGAGAGAGAGAGAGAG